ACGATATAAAGATAAATACTGCACAAGTAGTAAAATTATCCTCTTAGTTCGCTGCATTATCTCTAAAATAACTTCAGCTGTTATCCCGTAGCGAAAGAGATGCAGAAACTTGCTATTAATGAAATAAATAAAGGAATAGGTCCAATAGAACATGTGACTGTTCTAAATCTCTGAAATTAAATACCGTACTCTATATATTGAAACAGACAGTGCACCATATGTTGTACATGTTCAAAAAATTCAAGATACTCCAAATGATGGCAGTACTTTGCACCCTATTGCCTTTGGAAAATTTATCAAGAGAAATCTTTTTAAAGGAAGGAATAAATGGCAGTGTAAAGAGAATCGGTAGGAACAGTGTTTCATTGGCATTTTGTAATTATAAAGACATTTTTGAACCAAACTGGGTTTACATCTTAATAAGTTTAATGCTTTCATTCTATCATATAATGTAACACGGATGGGCATACATAATTCGTGGGATTTCAGCAGATTGGCCTCTTGAGGAAGTCAAGGAGCCATTCCTATAGGCTGTGGTGAGATTATAAAGCTTAGACGTCTTAATTAAAAAACAACAGAAAATGGTCAGTCTTCTTGGAAACCAAACTGTACAAGATGGATACCATATTATTTTTATCTGGATCCCGAGCCACTGTGGTATAAGAGGGAACGAAAGAGCCGATCATCTTGCTAATGAAGCCATCATTTCTGGCGATCATTTTCCTTTTAAAAATTATTCTCCTGATCTTCTGTCTTTGCCTGGAGATATTCTTAAGGACACTTGGAATGATCTCGTTATATTCAAACCCATATACCTTCTAAGACTTCTGTGCTGTTGCCATTCTCATACCCAGGTGGTTGTAGCATATATATATCCTCCTCAATGTCACCCTGTAAGCACGCAGAAACAGCATCCATCTGATCAATATCTAAATCATATTTTGTAGCCAGTGCTAGTAAGTAACGGAGTGATGTGTATCTTATAACTGGAGAGTAAACTTCATCATAGTCAATGCCTCTTTTTTGAGCACATACTTTTATTACCAATCTGGCTTTGTATTTAGTTATGCTTTCATTCTCATCCGTTTTAGTCTTATACACCCATTTACAAGGAATTGCTTTCTTACCAGAAGGTAGTTTGGTTAGTACCCAGGTGTTATTATTCAACAATGAGTCATATTCTTCATCCATGGCATTTACCCATTTCTGCGAATCTGTGCAAGATAAAGCATCTTCTAGACTTATTGGATCATTGTATAAAGTCATGTATGCATGATACAGATTGTCATTACAATCATTACCATTTTCATTTCTGTCCGCATAATATTGATGCCTAGGTCTTAGTGTCACGTTAGAATAGCAATCCTCAAATGTGCTATCATCACTTGTCTCTTCACTGGAAGGTGTATAAGTAATATCGTTTGAATCTGATGCAACCTCAGACATAGATCTCTCAGTATCTTGAACAGATGTCTCGTATTGAGACCTTGACACACTCTGAGTTGACATGTCTGTTTCGGTACTTGGTGTATTCAATCCCAACTTCATAGATATCATTTTAATATTTTGATTTGTAATGGGGTGTGTGTGTTCTGAATTTATTGAATTATCTTCTATGAATATAACATCTCTACTCTTCACAATTAAACCTTTTTTTATATCCAATAATCTATAACCTTTTGTATTTTGACAATAACCAACAAACCTCATTTCAGATGACTTAGGATCCCATTTTTGTCTCTGTTGTTTTGGTACATGAACCATAGCCATGCAACCAAATATTTTAATGTGGCTAATATTATGTCTTTTACCAGACCATTTCTCTTCTGGAGTACTGTCATTAAGTACTCGTGATGGTGATCTATTTATGATATAGGCTGCTGTTGACACAGCCTCAGCCCAATACATTTTTGACATTTTGGCATCACTTAACATACATTTGGCTCGTTCTACAAGCGAACGGTTTTTTCTCTCACTCAAGCCATTCTGCTCGGGAGTGTAGGGCGTCGTAGTCTGATGCCTGATGCCAGAATCTGGACTGGATTCACATTACCATCATTACAGCAGAGATTGAGATCAAGATTTCCCATCTTCTGTACAGTCACTGAAGAATTATTGGCCACCTTTATACTTTGTATCGGAGATGTTTTAATTTCATATAGCCAATCAGATCTTCTTGTCATGTGCATGGAGGCACCTGAATCCACATACCAATCACTATTATCCAATGCAGAATAAGCTGAAAAAACTGCAGCATAATTTCTGTTAGTATCTGAATTTTCTTTTCTGTTAGAAAAACAGTTTTTACTGATATGCCCATATTGATTGCAATTGTAGCAACGGGGACCACGGGGCTTATTATGTATATTAATTTTCTTTTTAGGGTAATTTCTGTGCTTTGTGTACAGTGCAGTAGAATCAGATTCTTTTTTTACTTCTTGTAACAATTTTGTTTTAATAGAATCTGCACTTATTTTGACACCAGAGCTTTCGGGAAACGCCACGGGCAGTCGGTAATGGCGACTGACGATTGCCCCGCCTCACCTGGTCGCCTCTTCGTCACCGACCGCAGTTCAAACACCCAGTTCCTGGTGGACACCGGTAGCGACTTATGCGTCTATCCTCGATCTGCGCTGCGTGAACGACGCGAGAAGACGGACTTTAAATTGTGTGCAGCCAACGGGACCAACATAGACACATATGGTTATGTAGAATTTAATTTAAATCTTGGTTTAAGGCGTAACTTTCCATGGCGTTTCACTGTAGCTAATGTAACTAAAGCCATTATAGGCGTTGATTTTTTAATTCATTATAATTTAATAGTAGATTGTCGAAACCGCCGCCTTACAGATAATACTACAAATATATATACAAATGCCAGTTTTGCTAACAATGAAACATTTTCTGTAAAACTTGTTACGGGTGACACAAGGTTTCATCATATCTTAAATAAATTTCCGGAAATTACTCGCCCTTCTGGCACACCATTGACTCCAATGCACAACACTGTACATTATATACGCACTACACCTGGTCCGCCTATATCATGCACTCCTCGGAGATTAGCTCCTGATAAACTTAAACTAGCTAGGTAGGAATTCGAACTCATGATCAGTAATGGTACAGCACGTCCTTCTGAAAGTCCCTAGGCCGCGCCGCTACACCTTGTACCCAAAAAGGATAACGGCTGGCGGCCCTGCGGCGACTATCGGCTGCTGAACGCAAGGACGATACCAGACCGTTATCCTATTAGGCACATACACGATTTTGCTCACAGTATATTTGGTTGTAAAATCTTTTCCACTATTGACCTGGTTAACGCCTACAACCAGATCCCGGTCTATGAGGGTGATATACAGAAAACTGCCATTACCACTCCTTTCGGACTTTACGAATTCCCTTATATGACGTTTGGCCTACGCAACGCGGGCCAAACCTTTCAAAGATTCGTCGACGAAATGACTAGAGGGCTCGATTTTTGTTATTGCTACTTGGACGACTTTCTAGTGTACTCCAGAGATGAAGCTGAACATGAGCATCACCTTGAACAGCTCTTCACTCGCATGAAGGAATTCGGTATCCTCATCAACACTTCTAAGTGTATATTTGGAGTAAGTGAAGTCAAGTTTTTAGGGTATCATATCTCAGCGTTTGGTACTAAGCCACTAGAGGCAAAGGTCGAAGCCATTAAGGACTTCCCCGCACCAAAGAACGTCAAGCAGTTGAGACGTTTCTTGGGGATGATAAACTTTTACAGACGATTTATCCCTCAAGCCGCGAAAGTACAGGCGCCATTGAACAACTTGCTCATTGGCTCAGTAAAAGGGTCCCATCCCATAAATTTGTGCGACGACACCCTGCTGGCCTTCGAGCTATGTAAAGGAAGCCTGTCAAATGCTGCATTACTCGCACACCCAGACTGTCAAGCCAAGCTTGCCCTGGTAACAGACGCATCTGATTTGGCCATGGGTGCAGTTTTGCAGCAATTCAATAACGACGCATGGCAACCTCTCGCATTCTTTTCACGAAAGTTAAGTCCTTCGCAACAAAAGTACTCTCCATACGATCGCGAGCTCTTGTCCATATACGAGAGCATTAAACATTTCCGCCACATGTTGGAAGCTCGACACTTCGTGGTATACACAGACCACAAGCCGCTCAGTTTCGCTTTGTTCGCCTCGTCAGTATCGTCATCTCGATTACATCTCGCAGTTCACAACCGATATAAGACACATTTCGGGCAAAGACAACGTCGTCGCCGATACATTGTCTCGTATCGAGGAACTGCAGATGCCAGTCGATTTGTTCCTACTGGCCGAGTCACAAGCTTCCGACGACGAGTTAGCTAAAATATTAGGTGGTGATTCATCACTCCGCCTAAGCAAGCTAAAGCTCACAAACAGCGAAACTGTGCTGTTTTGTGATGTAAGCACAACATCACCAAGACCCTTCGTGACCAAACCGTTCCGTAAACAACTCTTCGACAGCCTTCATAATCTTAGCCACCCAGGCGCCAACGCGAGCGCGCAACTTGTTGCCGAGCGATTCGTCTGCTCCGGGATGCGAAAGGACTGTCGAGAGTGGTCACGAAAATGTCTGGCTTGTCAGCGCGCAAAGGTGAACCGTCACGTGTCAGCTCCACTGGGTACGTTCAGTTTACCTCGTGCACGTTTCGCCTTCATCCACACGGACATTATAGGTCCACTGCCACCATCTCAAGGCCAACGCTACTGCCTAACGGTAGTAGATCGCTTCACACGCTGGCCTGAAGTATTCCCCATGGCAGACATGACAGCCGAAACTGTTGGGTAGGCACTGATATCGTGGATATCCAGATATGGATGTCCAACCGATATCGTTACTGATCGTGGTCGACAGTTTGAATCCGCACTTTTCCAATATCTTGGAAAAATGATTGGATTCAAACATCGCAGAACAACCGCGTATCACCCAGCATGCAACGGGTTAGTGGAACGCTTCCACCGACAAAAGCTGCCATTATGTGTCACGCAGACGTGAATTGGGTTGACAGCTTACCACTTGTTCTCCTCGGCATTAGGTCAGCGTTCAAGGAGGACTTGAATGCTTCCTCTGCTGAACTGGTATATGGCGAACCATTACGTCTACCAGGCGAATTCTTTCAATCAGCAGCGCCAGATTCAACCGATATTACGGATTTTTCCACCCGTCTCCGGCAATTCGCGGCAAAGTTGCAACCATCTCCCGCAACACACCATAAGAAGGACAGGATCTTTATTTATAAAGACTTGGCATCCTCGAGTCATGTCTTTCTGCGCGACGACTCGGTGCGAGGCGCTTTACAGCCTCCTTACTCTGGACCGTATGAAGTACTCGAACGCGGAGATAAGATATTTAAGTTACTGGTTAAAGGCAAACCGGTCACAGTATCTATAGACCGACTCAAACCGGCCTACATACTGGCAGACCCATCCACAACACCTCAAACTATTACCGATCCTACTCCCATCCTTCTACCTATCCCGGTTCCTATGCAGACAGATATACCAGCTCAGGATACCGCCAAAAAGACGCGCTCAGGACGCGTAGTTCGATTCCCTGACTATTATCGCCCGTAGTCACGGTCTTTGGAGGGGAGTGATATAGGCTACTCAGCCTTCATATCCATATATTAAAATATCATTATATATATACTAATATTAAATAAAGACAAACAGACATACACACACACATAATCATACATCAACATTATATTATATACACTTATATCTATTCTACTACCTATTCTATATTATTATTATACTATGTACATCACGCTTTATCATATTAATACAGGTACATCTTATGCTGCGTCTTAATATTAAATTCATTATTAACGTACATAGCTATCTATACATACAGCGCCGAGCGCCGTGCATAGTAGCCGCGCGCGGGACCGGGTCCCGGCAGCGGGGCGCGGGGCGGTGCATGAACTGCGCGAGCGCAGTGAGATGCCTCGCCTCGCAGTCGTGATTTTTACATCTTAGGCATAACCTGTGTCACTCGCTTGCTTACGCGCTACTTATAAAATACATCGTAATTATAACAATTCAATTTCTGTTTCATACTATCATTCTTCTTTCACTCCTTCTCATTCTATATGCTGTGGACTGTACTCTATGAACTACTGTGTATGTGCTTGTAACCCGAAATAAACCACTGGATCTATCGGGACTGCGTTTCTTGTTCCGCCTGGCTTTCCTCATCTTCCGCACCTCATCTGTTGTGCTGGGCTGTACACCAGCACTCAACAGCCGGCACACCGCATACACCACAACAACCACCACAAGTCTTTGGATGCAAGTTTCTTCTCTGTCCAGTTATCTGGTATTTTCTTTTTAATGGCAGTGGCGTATTCATAAACCAATTCGCGTGTTTTCAGTTTTGATAGTCCATGGTTTAGTTTAAAAGATGTTACAAGATATTCCGAAATTTTCTCTTCTTCATCTTTTGTGAATATTTGAGACGATATAAATTTACAAGAATTATCTTTTACGACACCACCCTGCTTGATATACCTTTGAAGGTTAGATCTTGGTATGTCATATTTATTCGCAGTACTTTTAATTTTAGCACCTTTGGAAACTTCTTCCAATGCGCGCAAAATAATATCTTTAGGGATTTCACGTCGCTTATTTTTCTTTTTAAATGAAAACGGCATTGTCCTAAAAAGAAATGATTAACCACTCAATCCAATAGGCATAGCAAAAAGACACCAAAATACACTAAAAACAGAGGGAGCATTGGGCATGCCCAAACCTCCCTCCTACCTGCGTGCCCAATGCTCCCCATAACCTCACTTTTCAAATAGATTAGAATAAGATTATTTTTATCAAATGTAGAAACCTAATTTACAGGCAAATATAATATTCATTAAACACAAAAGAAAAAGATAACACAGATACTTACACGTTCTTGCAGATTTCTTTGATAAGTTACATCAAATCACAAATAAAATATTTACTTCTGTACGCAGCAAACCGTTACGCGCATGTAACTTGACAACCAAGTGAAATGACAGCTGACACTTTAGATAAGCGGTGTTGCTAGTGAATAAAGTATAGTGCTGTGGTAGAAAACAAAAAATATCTATGAAAGTTTTGGAGAAATGAGGGGGTGCCCAAACCTCCCGACTGCCCAATGCCTCCCCTATTACATAAAATTTGTGCTTAGGATTTTTTTCCCGTCTCATGCTCATGCCAATCGGTTGATTCCAATTGCATATATACTTAGTAATATGATAAAATTGTGTGAGTTTCGTTTGGAGATGAACCGGTCATAACTTTTGCAGGTTTTGTGACAGCATCAAAATCAAATCATTTCAGAAACTAGACGTCAGTAGTATTTCAACCATGTCGAAATACACACCAATCGAACGCTCTGATATTGTAGAACTGTACATTGAAAATCAGAAGTAAATTATTTTGATTCAACGAAAATTTCGTGCAAAATTTGCCAAGAAAAAAGCAGCTGATCCGAAGACAATTCCTGCATTTTATATTCCAAATTCATGTTAAGTGGTGTTCTTAGTAATGTGTCGTGTGGTGTCATACAGCGCAGAGCACGATCAAAAACAAACATTACCATCGCACAGGACCTTTCAGAGGAAGATTATTCGACTTTCGAGAAGATTCGACGCGGTGCTCAGGCTTTGGGCGTCAGTAAATCCTTGATGCATAATACTTTGCGCATTGATTTGCTGCTATTCCCTTACAAGATCCAAATCGTGCAAAATTTAGAGAGAAGTGAAGATGATTTTTGGAACAAAATCATCATCAGCGACGAAGCACATTTTGACTTAAATGGCAACGTAAACAAACAAACTTGTCGTTTCTGGGCAGCTGAAAATCTTGAAACATATCTTGAAAAGCTTCTCCATGACAAACGGGCGACAGTTTGGGCCGGAATATGTGCGGATTGCATCATTGGACTGTTCTTTTTCGAAGATGACGATGGCAACCAATTTTGGTGAATGGTGACCGTTATCGAGCTATACTTAACAGTTTTTTTGCGTAAACAGGTCGAGAATAATGGCCTGGAAGATTACAGGTCCAACAGGATGGCGCTACGGCTCATACAACTCACCTAACAATCGTTTTGTTGAACGAAATATTTCCAGGTCGTTTAGTGTCAAAAAACAGTAATTTCGACTGGCCAGCGCGTTCGCCTGATTTGGGGATATTGAAGGTGTATGCTGACCGGCCGAAGCGAAGCCTCTTCGTGAATTGAAACACAATATTGAACGAGAAATTGCAGCCGACGGAAACATTGAAAAAAGACATGGAAAATGCCAAAAAACGACCTCAACTTTGCGTCAAGGAAAAAGGAAAACATTTGCGTGATATCATATTTCACTAATGTTGTAATCAAATTCTATTGACTCCACTTTCTAATAAAACGGACCGAATTGAAATTTATTGTGTATTTTTTTATTGATGAATAGGGGTTCGAATCGAGTTTTGGCCATACTGTATTTTAATAGGGAGGAAAAATTGTATGTTCTCTTATATGTGGATGATTTACTGATTCTGGGTGCAGATGAAAGTTGTATCACTAACCTAAAATTATCTTTACATAATGAATTTCACATGATGTATATAGGAACCAAAAATACATGGTATTAATATATGATGATACCTTGGTATTAATATAGTAAAAGGGGCAAATGCCTGATTAAATTAATTACTTAAAAGATATTTTACAGAAGTATAATATGGAAAATTGTAACCCCATATCAACACCCATAGAGCCAGGATCACATGAACTGCCATTATCAACAACTTGTTCGGAGTCTCATGTACGCCATGCTCGGCACTAGACCTGACTTGTGTTTCGCCATCAGTTATCTAGCTAGGTTAGTACTCTTTTGAGTGCTTTCCAGAGACTGATGCTACCATGTGCTTGACACATGGTAGCATCAGTTTCTGGAAAGCACTCAAGAGAGTACTTCGTTATATAAAGGGTACCATAAACTGCAAATTGATTTATAGAACAAAAGATGAAACATTAGTAGGCTACACAGATACAGATTGGGCTGGTGATAAAGTACAGAGAAAATCAACAACTGGTTATTTAATGCAAGTTTATGGGTGTACAGTCTCATGGTGCAGCATTAAACAGCAGTGTGTGGCTCTTTCTTCTACAGAATCTGAGTATGTGGCATTAGGGAAGGGAGTCTCAGAGGTTTGCTGGATTAGGGAATTGTTATTTGAATTAGGGATGAGTTGCAATACATTTACAGTTTATATAGATAACTAATCAGCTGTTTATGTTTCCAAAAATCCCGAACTTCATAAAAGACTCAAGCACATTGAAATAAAGTATCACTTTGTACGATTAAATATTGTTAAATTAGTATATGTATATATTGAATCTAAATGTCTGTCCTTTTTACTAAAGGTTTGAATAAGAATATATTTAATTAATTTGTGTAAAGAGTTGTGTTTGGTTTAAACTGTACCACTGATTCAAATATTGTTTAAATCAATGTGTATTTTGGCATAATAATTAAAAAATATAAAAGATTCCTAAATTAAGTATAGTATGTGCTAAGAAAGTAGAATGTCATAATAGAAGTTAAGATCAACCTACAAGTTAAGACTGAGAAATTTTCTTTTTGTTTTCATTTAAGAAAGAGAATAAATGTTTGTTAAGGAAGGGTGGGTGGGACTCGGTCAATCAGTCGGCGTCAAGGTGTTCCCCATCAAAGAGTTCATAAAAGAACACTCAGTTGACTAATTTGTTACTTACATTTCAAATTTAAAACCATAGCGAGTCAGTCGTGATGTTGGTGGTGGCACGATTATGCCGCCACCAATAGTAGTAGAGATAAAGAGGCCGGGAATAAGGAGGGAGCGGGCTGCTCTCTCTTTGTTCTAGGCGACCGAGATGACCAGACGTGAATGTACAGCGACGCAAATTATATGGAGTGTAATTTGAAAAAGGAATAAAATAAATGTACTGCTGCATCGACTTATCATTTCTGAAACTTACCAATAGTTTCAGGTTTATTTTTAACCTGCCAGCAAGCAAAATTGCCATTATTCAATCTAATATTAAGTATTTAGACACCAACTAAGTGAGCCCTTCTTCAAATAACAATTAATTATTATTGAAAATCATGTATATGTATATATTTCTATAAATTTACTATTTGTTACTGTACTCTTGTTAATTAATTTCATATTCTCTGTTAACTTTATAATGCCTTTATACGTAGTGATGTAAAACTTTTTAAGAATTAGTCTATTGTTAGTAGTGAAAGCCTGTCAGTGGCTTACTGTGACATATATATTGACTTTATTTAAGATGTACTTGAATAGCCTTGGTTTTCCTTTAATAAATAAATAAATAAAAATAAATAAATTTAAAAAAAACAGCTCAAAAAATGCGGTATAATAGAATACAATTTTCGATGAATCAATTAAATGTATTGGGCAGTACAGCATTTTACGCAAGGAAGGCTACCATCCGTTCCACCTACGAAATGTTCAAGATTTGCTACCTATAGACTATGATCGACGTGTGGCTTTCTGACAAGAGATGATCAGAAGAGACAGGAATAATCCAAATTTTTCAA